ACGACAAGCTGCGATTTACTTGCGCAGGCCACGCGCCAATGCCGCCGCCGCAGCGGCGCGTGCCAATCCTGATTTTCACGCCCAAAAGAGCAAGACAGGACAGAGCAGTGCCCGACGCCAGCTACGAATATACGCCGCCATCTGCCGCGCAGACGCCGACGCCGCCGACGCAGCCCGCGCCGCCGCGGCAGCTGCGACCGATGCCTCCCCGCGACCCATGGGCCCGCGTATCCGTGCCAGTGTGCGACGCGACCAAATCCGACAGCAGCGCAGACGACGGCGACTCCCGGGCCAAAATGGGCGGATCAGCAGACGCATGGGAGTTTTACCTCGCATCGTTGCCTCCACATAAAGACCGCGACATGCACTGCCCGAGCGGTTGTGCAGATTTCTGCCGCCGCCCCAGGGGCGCCGACGCCGGCGGCTATGACGACGACCGATGGCATTGCGCGGTGTACCACCACGAACTTTCCAACACCTACGCGTACATGGTCCCCAATGACGACCTGCGACTGCCAAGATGGCACAGGTGCCTGGATAAGGTCAACAACGAACTCTTCGTGCACCGATGCCAGCACCACTGATTATCACACACTCCGCAACGACGCGACTCAGGAGCCACGCCGTCCTCGACCTTCCAGTTAACCTTCACAGCCGGTATCAAAGACTTCAAACTCAAGAACGCAGTGCGCGCCGACGCCTTTCAACCCTCTCGAAAACCTCGAAGTCGACAACCTAGACTCGGCAACGGCAGCGACATAGATGCATGTGCCAGCCAATCGTAACAACGCGGCATTCCGACCAGCAGTAACTACCACCAACCAACACTCCCAAACATTACTATCAGGCGGACAGGCACCATTCAACCGCGACATGATTGTAGCCATGCAGGAAGTAGTGCATTGGCTCCACGACATCGGCGACAAAGTGAAGTGCGATTGGGCGGTCAATATTTACGACGCGGCAGCACTCCTACAAAAACGCAATTCGACTGCGGCTCGCAGCACTGTCAGGCCCGCGCAACGAACCCACGGGCACTTCCAGCTCGAGCGTTGGGGTCGCGCCGGTGACCACTCACTCGACGAACGACAGACCAGCGGCAGAACCAGCACCACCGCCACCTACGCGCATGCCGCCTGCCAAAAGAACGACGCCACTGCGGGCCACGCCAGTCGCCGAAAAACCACCACCTCAGAGGTCTAGTTCGCGCCTTTATCAGTAACGCAATCGTAGCTACACCTGCAGCACCCCGCATGAAGGCCATCGCCGCATGGCCACCTACAGCAAGAGTTGCCGTACCGATGCACCCACCACCACCCACCACCACCGACGCTCAAGATGCCTAACGTTTGCCTACCTTGCGAAGACATTCTGACACAGCGGTGGCTACGAGAAATACGCATGCACCGACTCGCACCGCATACCTACGCCTCTTCGCACATCTATTTCTCATCCCAGGTACTTACGGACTCTCCGATACGCGCCGCATGCGTGGTGCAGCACAACGTGACCGACAGCCGTGGACGCATTTTCTCGCGCGACATGGGGGGCCCGCGCTTCTGCGAATACATCGGCGCAGTGCGGTCGCGCCAGGCGCGATGCGAGCAGCGCCTAGCCACTATCCACACTCGCAACCTCCAGCAATACATTCCCCTCAAGGAGGCACCGCCGTGCAAGGCCCAACCGCGCATCTTCGGAGCGTCGCCGAAACCCAGACCGCAGCATGCCATTCCACGCAGCGGCAACAACCGCGCAGGACTGACCGTGCCAGGTGCAGCTGCGACGCGCGTGACACGTCGGAAGCGTGGGGCAGGTGCTGCCGCGGCATCGACCGCGATCCCCACTGCGCCTCCGCTTGCCCCAGAACATCAATTTCTGACTCAACTATGAGGGCACAACTTTTCACGCTCTTGTTCCTCTTGGCACTGCTGCTTGCGTCGATGCAGGGCCCCTTCCAAGATTTATCTCGCCCCCTGGCCCGCCAGGCACGGCGGGCCCCCAGCATGTCCTGCCGCGCACTCACTATTTCTTCCCACCCCATACTCTGTTATTTTTGGCAACTGCCAGTGCCGCAGGCCATCTTCCAGGCCAACCATACTTGCGCATTGATGATCAGGGTTCGTGCTGAACCAGAGAAAAACTTACAAGATGCACGCTGGGTTAACCCAAAAAGCCTTGTGCTGCAACCCAGGATCTGCTATTGTTTGTAACTACCATCGCGCGTTTTTGTGTTGCTACCAATCTTATCTACTAATCGGGACGTGATTAGACTTCGCTGATTATGGATGTTGTTGGAGGTTGGGCGGAGGTTTGCTTGCAGAGCAGTGCGTCGCACAGACCTAAGGCCAGCCTCTCAGGCCAGCCTTTTTTTGCCTCGCCAGCGCATTTACGCTTTCTGCACCGGAGACACTCTCCCTGGACTTGATTTTTACCGTGCCATAGTACTTGTACTTAGCTCGTGCCCTTGGCAGCCCAGCTTACCTGCCGATTTTGTTGTTGTTGTTTTGTTTGTTTGTTTTCTTTTGTTTTTCTTCTTTTCATTCTTCTTATTCTTCCTTCTCTTCCTCGTCTTATTATTTATCCCTTTCCTCTTAGTCCTCTTCTTTTTCTTCTTGTGTACATCGCCTCCCTCCACGCGAGGGTCGCATGTGGCGGCTGATGATTCTGAGGGGCTGTGGGGCGGTTGTGGTCTCACGAGTTCCTGGGGTGGAGGGGGGATTGCTTGCAGCGCAGTGCTCCGCTCAAACCGCGGGTCAGTCTCGAAGGCCATCGTTCTATGCATTCGGAGCATACTACGATCTTTCAGCACATCATCAATACAGATGACGATTCGTGCCTTTATTCGTGCCTGCCTGACCTGACTTTGCATGCTTCTACGCTCAGCCTGACAGCTGAGAAAGCGCTAGCTACAGTGAGTTACCATTTTGGCACGTCGGTATGGGGAGAGGCCTGGCTTTCCCACTGTGGGTTACCGACCACACATTGCCTTGTATACAGCACTTCTTCCTTAAGTCAGTTGCCACTGCCGGATGTAGCCTTGACATCCCCATGTTCCACCTTTCGCCTGCATTTACCTCTGGACAGCGTGATGCTCATCACTTCCTGCCAGCATTGTCATCCCTACTTGAGGAAGGGGGCGGGGGGTTGGGCCGGAGGTTTCCATGCAGCAAAGTGCTTCGCACAAGCCCAGTGCCAGCCTCTCAGGCCTCCCTTCCTTGCTTCACTGGCACACTTACGCTCGCTGCTTTCAAGACAGTCAGCTAGCAGGTTAACATGCCCAAAACATTGATTGCACTCTGCTCGTACCTTCGGCAGCCCATCTGCCACGTTTTGTGTGCTTCAACATCTTCAGTATTGTGGCCACTGATACTAAAGGACTTGTGGGAAGGTGGTGGCCTAATGTATGGAGGCAGGGTGGAGGTTTGCTTGCAGCGCAGTACCCAGCAGAAACTTCAGGCCAGCCTCTCAGGCCAGTTCTTTAGACCGACCTGGCGCATCTTACGCTCTCAGTTTCTTAAACAATTCGAGGGTCCTCATGGTTACATACCCTTTACTGCTCCCTGTTCTCGTTCGCTTCTGCAACGCATACCTTAGAAACTCAGGGGGGTGCTTCACGGTTATGCTGGATGCTTTAGGCGCTAAATAGGAGGCTTTGCGCACTCAACTATGTGTTGATCTTGTACCTGGCGGGCGCCCACTCTTTTTTCTAAACTCGTCGCTGCCTCATTTTTCAGCAATGTCCGCGGTGCCCGCCAGGTACTTTGCGCGCCGAGTCGGGTATTCATTTTCACTACTGTTTTTCAAGAACGCCACAGCTTGCAACCAAGGTCGGTCTAACGTAAAAATGAGGAGGAGGAGGGAGGAGGGAGGAGGGAGGAGGGAGGAGGGAGGAGGGAGGGGAGGAGGGAGGAGGAGGAGGGAGGAGGAGGGAGGGGAGGAGGAGGGAGGAGGGAGGGAGGAGGAGGAGAGGAGGAGGAGGAGGAGGAGGAGGAGGAGGAGGAGGAGGAGGAGGAGGAGGAGGATAGGAGGAGGCCACCTGGTCGCGTCGTTGGGCCCCGCGGAAGGCATCGCCGCCTCTACGCATTCCCCGCGGAGTCTAGACCGCATCGGTCAGAGTAGAAAGTGGCGAATTAACGAAGGGAGGGGGCGATAACTGCGAGCGTGGGTGACCGGCTGGGCAGGAAGGGGGGGGAAGTGGGCGGGGGCGCGGCGGTGGGCGCTTGTTGCATCGTCGTGGTGGCGGTTGTGGTGGTGGTCGTGGGTGTCGTGGTGGTGGCCGTGTCCTGTCGTAGTGGTCATGACGGTTGTCGCGCTGGTGGTGGTCGTGGTGGTAGTAGTGGAGGTCGTGGTAGTGGGAGCGCCGTCAAGGTGATCGTGAAGGTGATCGTGTCTTGTCGTAGGTGGACGCGGTGGTCGTCGTTCCGGTGGCTGTCGTAGGCGTGGTCGCTGGCACCGCTGCTGGCCTAGCGCCCGAACGCGCTCTGGAGTATCCCGGCCGCCAGAGGCCGCCCAGCAGCTCGGAGCGTTCGCCGTCGTCCGAGTCCGCTCCGTAGTTGCGAACGAAGCTGGCTGCTTCGTCGCTGGGCCGGCGCCCCCCTGCTCCCTCACTCGCTCTCTCCTTCCCCCCCTCCCTCCCCTCCTGCCCCCCCCTGTCCTTCCCTCCATCTCACCGCGGCGGCGGTCAAACTCTGGAGCAGGAGGCGGGGCTCTGATCATCTTGTCGCCCATGCTGCTTTTTCTCCACCCTCTGCCACGGCCGCTCTGGACACACGCCGTTCGCAGGTGCCGAGGTCCTGACTCCCTCCCCCTCCCCCTCCCCCCCTTCCTCGCTCCGCTCTCCCCTCCCCCCTCCTCTTCCCCCCTCCCCCCTCCTCTTCCCCCCTCCCCCCTCCCACCTCCTCCCGCCCTGGCATGCATTTCTCGACCGCGGGTGCCGCGAACCACTTCGCCCTCGGCCTTTCCCCCCCCCGGCGTCGCGCGCGCCCGCCTTCGTGGCCGAGACGGGGACGCTGCGGATCAGCGGCCCGAAGACGGAAAACCACTGGAAGTGCTCCCCCCCCTCGCGGGGGTGTTGGAGCGAACGGGGAGGAAGGGGAGGCGTAGGAGGAGACGGATGAGAAGGGGGGGAGGAGGGGAAGGGGGAGGAGGGGACTGGAGATGGTGGTGGTGGTGGAGGAGGAGGAGGAGGAGCAGGAGGAGGACCAGTGTAGACCCAAGATGCATCAACTTTGTTGCAATCAACCATCCGTGCAAGTTCCCTTTTCATAGGGTCCTATGATACCGGAGGAAGAACCTAATTATAATCCTTTTAGGGTTATGGGGCTGTTGGGCTATAGGGCTATAGGCTATAGGGCGAGAAGGCTGTGGGGCTACAGGTCTATAGGGCTATAGTGCTAGAGGGCTATAGGGCTGTAGGGCTATAAAGCTATAGGGCTATAGGGCTACATGGCTACATGGCTACAGGGCTATTGGGATATAGGGCTATTAGGGCTATAGGCTATACGTAGGGCCATAGGGCGATAGAACACCCGTGCACCTGGGCACTCGGGCACCCCCTGGGCACCCCCGTGCACCTTCGGGCACCTCCGGGCACCCCTGGGCACCCCCGGGCACCTGCGGGCACCCGGGCACCTACGGGCACCCGGGCACCCCCGGGCACCCGGGCACCCGGGTACCCGGGCACCCCGACACCCCGGCACCCAGGGCGGCCACCGAAATCGGCGACGAACTTCACCTGACCATATGAATCCGCTAGGACTCCTACAGAGGCAAGCTTTGATTGGGGAATTATAATTTCTTTTTATTGCGGGAAGTGCTTCGTTGGAAGACAACAGTCTGAGAGTTCTCAATCGTGCCACGTCACCGTTCCTGGGATGCCAGCGCCGCGGATCAACGTTACTGTTACGTCCTGGCAATTTTACACCGTACCAGAACGCCACTCCTGGGACTTCAGCACCGCGAATCAACGTGACTGTTGCGTCCTGATAATCCTATGTCGTGCCAGGACACCATTCCAGGGACTTCAACTATACGAATCCTTGAACCAGTCGCAAACTTTAAGACGAATGTGCGCGGCGCTGAAGCGAGATGAACATGTCGAAAAGGGCCCGCCCTCCAACCTTGGAACTTTGTACAAACTGTTGCGTATCAGGAATGTGCGCGGCGCTCAAGCGAGAGCAACACTTTTGGAAAACCACCCGCCTCCATCCGTGAAACGTTTGCAAATGTTCAAGGAGAGTGTGCGTGGCGCTGAAGCGACAGCACCATTGCGAAAAGGACCTCCTCTGCATCCTTGAAAGTGTTTGCCGTTTACGTAACGGGATTGTGCGCGGCGGTAAGGCGAGCTCAACATTTTGAACAGGACCCACCTTACCCTGTTAAATTATTGCACATGTTAAGTTTCCGGATCGAGAATGGAGAGGAAGTGTCAGACGAACCGTCCGGCCAACGGACACAACCGGGCGTGCGACAGGGAGGAGCTGTTTGTCTAATGGTCTTCGGCCAATCCCGCCGTTGTGCCTGGGTTGGGGATGTCGCGGGAGGTCTCTCGGGAGGCCTCTCGGGGGCCTCTTGGGTGGGCCGTTTTGAGGCCTCTTGGGGGCTGTTTTAAGCCTTCTTGGGGCGTCTTCGGGGGCTCTTGGGGGTCTCTTGGGGCCTCTTAGGGCCTCTTCGGCCCTCCTTGGGGCCTATTTGGGTCCTCCTTGGGGGGGCCTTTTGGGGCGGAAGACTCGTATTTTCGGTTCGTGTTCCCCATCTTCGGCCCTTCATTTCTTGGGGCTGTCTTTGTGCCGTCTTGGGTGCATATGGGGCCGTCTTGGAGTGATCTTGGGCTGTGTTGGGGCCCTCTTGGGGGTCCCTTGGACCGTCTCGGGGCGGTTCTGGATGCATCTTGGGCCGTCTTGGAGCGTCGGGAGCTCGAAAAATCGAAGACCCCCAAATCATTGAACAAACTAAAGAAAATCAATGGTTTTGGCCTCTCGGGGCCTTCTTGAGAAGGCTCTTGGGGCTCTCTTGGGGCGTCCCGGAGGCCTCTTGGGCCGTCTTGAGACCGTCGTGGGCGTCTTGGTGCGATCTTTGGGCGTCTCGGCGCCCTCTGAGACAATATGAGGGGCCTCTTTGGGCCCTCTTGGGTCAGAGACAGTCACGCGGGGAGGTGCGTGAAGCCCTCGGCAAGCCGCAGCAGGTCCCATGAGATTTGGCAATTTGAGGTCCGGGTCCCTTAAATACCACTCAGGAGTGAGGACTGGGACGGGATTGGGCACTTGACCCGACATACGCCCACTCCGTGCCCAGCGGCACTGCGGCGGATAAGGAAAAGGGATGGATGAGGATATGGGAGGAGTGAGGTTGAGGGGGGGGCGGAGGGAGGGTAGGGGGAGGAGAGGGGGAAGAGGAGGGGGAAGAGATGGAGGAGGGGACGGAGGAGTGTTAACTGAACACTTCGTTAGGCGAGGAAGTCAAGACCAAGAGGAATGGGATCGCCTAGAATGGCGAGCTAACACCACGCGCGGGGAGATGCAAGGGGGGCAGCCCCCGCATATCCCCCGCAGCAGATGCAGACCCCTCCAACCCTGTCCATGCCATGGGGGGAACACCGCCAGCTCCGCACTTGGGGCAAGCGCACTGGCCTTGAGGGGACGGGTGGCTGGAGGGGGAGGAGGAGGATGCTGGTGAGGGGGGGTTTGGAGGGGGAGTGGGGTAATTTACGTAACAGCGAAGACTGATAGGTTTCTAGTGGTGTCAAAAGAGAGCATCTGATGACTCAGAAGGGAGGTCTGGGTGGCATCCGGACAGCGAGGGCCGGGCTCAGGGCCAGGCTCGTTTTAAGCAAACAGTCACACACTTCGTGCTCTTCGACCTCCCAGAACTCCATTCCCGGGCCACATTTTGAATGCCCGAAGCCAACTGTAGGCCACTTCGTGCTCTACGACTTCCCAGATTTCCATTCCCGGGCCACATTTTGGATGCTTGGAGCCAACTGTAGGCCACTTCGTGCTCTTCGACGTCCCAGAACTCCATTCCCGGGCCACATTTTGGATGCCCAGAGCCAACTGTAAGCCACTTCGTGCTCTTCGAGTTCCCAGAACTCCATTCCCGGGCCACATTTTGAATGCCCGGAGCCAACTGTAGGCCACTTCGTGCTCTTCGAGTTCCCAAAACTCCATTCCCAGGCCACATTCTGAATACCCGAAGCCAACCGTAGGCTGCTTCGTGGTCTTCGAGTTCCCAGAACTCCATTCCTGGGCCACATTTTGAATGCCCAGAGCCAATTGTAGGCCACTTCGTGGTCTTCGAATTCCCAAAACTCCATTCCTGGGCATGATTTTGCATGCCCGGAGCCAACTGTAGGCCACTTCGTGGTCTTCGAGTTCCCAGAAGTCCATTCCTGGGCATGATGTTGAATGCCCGGAGCCAACTGCAGGCCACTTCGTGTTCTTCGAGTTCCCAGAACTCCATTCCTGGACCACATTTTGAATGCTGAGGCAGGCTGAGGCTGAGGCTGAGGCAGGCTGAGGCTGAGGCAGGCTGAGGCTGAGGCCGAGGCTGAAGGCAGACTGAGGCTGAGGCTGAAGCAGGCTGAGGCTGAGGCTGAGGCAGGCTGAGGCTGAGGCTGAGCAGGCTGATGCTGAGGCAGGCTGAGGCTGAGGCTGAGGCTGATGCAGGCTGAGGCTGAGGCAGGCTGAGGCTGAGGCCGAGGCTGAAGGCAGACTGAGGCTGAGGCTGAAGCAGGCTGAGGCTGAGGCTGAGGCAGGCTGAGGCTGAGGCAGGCTGAGGCTGAGGCTGAGGCTGAGGCTGAGGCAGGCTGAGGCTGAGGAGGCTGAGGCTGAGGCCGAGGCTGAAGGCAGACTGAGGCTGAGGCTGAAGCAGGCTGAGGCTGAGGCTGAGGCAGGCTGAGGCTGAGGCTGAGGCAGGCTGATGCTGAGGCAGGCTGAGGCTGAGGCTGAGGCTGATGCAGGCTGAGGCTGAGGCAGGCTGAGGCTGAGGCCGAGGCTGAAGGCAGACTGAGGCTGAGGCTGAAGCAGGCTGAGGCTGAGGCTGAGGCAGGCTGAGGCTGAGGCTGAGGCTGAGGCTGAGGCTGAGGCTGTGAGGCTGAGGCTGCTGATTGCCACTGCTGAAGGCTGCATCGCTGCGAACTGCGACTGCGACTGCGACTGCGAGAACAGCAGAATTCTACAACTGGATTCTCATGTGAATCTTAAGGGGAATGCTTCCAGATATGCTCCTACACATCGCTGTTAGGTTGCTTTGCCGGGATACTTTTTAAAGAGAGCCCGAGGAGGGGGTGGAGGAGGGGAAGGAGGAGGAGGAGAAGGAGGACGAGGAGGAGGTGGAGGAGGAGAAGGAGGAGGAGGAGGAGGGGGAGGGGGGGATGATGATGATGATGATGATGATGATGTGATGATGATGATGATGATGATGATGATGATGATGATGATGATGATGATGATGATGATGAAGGAGGAGGAGGAGGAGAGGAGGAGGAGGAGGAGGAGGAGGAGGAAGAGGAGGAGGAGGTTGTGAGGGGGGAGTGGGGGACGAGGCGGAGGAGAAGGAAGAGGCCGAGGAGGCTGAATGTGAGGGGTGCAGGGGAGAATGAGGAGGTGGGGAGGATGAGGATGAGGATGAGGATGAGGATAGGGGATGAGGAGGAGGAGGAGGAGGAGGAGGAGGAGGAGGAGGAGGAAGAGAAGAAGGAGGAGGATGAGTACGACTTGAGTACCCATCGGGCGTTGGAAGCCCAGAACCCAATCTACTTCAAGCGCCTTCCTACTTCAAGAACCGATATGCTTTGGCTGCGTTTTGCTATTCTCTGGGCGGGCTCGAACACAATGTACTCTATCCGTCTTCCTAATTATTGTTTCTAACTGCTCTTTCCAACCGATGGGTACATGATAGGTCCGCGTCCGCGCGTGACGTCGCCCTGCAGACGACAAACTGATCAAGAAGCAGACCACTTCGGATGGCCCTCGAGGGTTCGGTGGTCTACTTCTCGAGCCAGGAAACAGACCACCGATACCTCGAGGGTTCGGCCCTGCTGTCAAACAT